TATAGTTTCTTCAAATATCAGCAGTAGTTTTACTCGGCTTGAAACAGAGGAAATGCTCGCTAAAGCTCGCATTTTACAGGTTTCTTAGTCTCGTACAAATAAAGCCGATATTTAATGACACTAAACTCATATTGTCTTTATTTGGATTTGAAAGCGGATATTGTGTTTTATGTTAGTTATATTTTTTTTTCATTGGGACAAAGCGAAGTATGTTTTCGCTCTTTAATTTTAGTTTAACAAATTAATGCATAAAGAAAACAATAACGTATATTGTGTTCGTGGCTTAGAGCGCTTTGATTTAGAAATACGTATTTTTGAAGATTTAGATGGGGAAATTTCTTTACCATTCTTCACAAGTATAACGTTGTTTATGTTCCAAGAACTATCTGTATGTATAGGCTAAAAAGGAAAAGAACGATTAAATTTAGAATATAAACCATTTTCTAAAGTGGAAAAGTAAATATTTGTGAAAATTGTATTTTAAATCAAAGAATAGGTATTAATTTTTGTTCTAATACCACAAATATTTCTTTAGAATTAGTCGAAAGGGACTTAAACATTTACATATAATTTAAGGGGTTTGAAGAAAAATATCGGTTCTCTCACTCTGTAACGACGCGCCTATTGTTCAATAAATTCTCCAGTAACGGAGGGGTTGCAAAATGGTAGAATTAAAATGGTGCTAAAGCTTTTTCAGGCTGAAGATACATTTTATTTTTATTCAACTAGATAATATAAAACTATATATACACATGTATCTACAAGAAAACAAACTGCAATTGTAGGCAGCACCAATATGCATTTCTAAATGGTAATTATACCAAAAGCCACAGCATTTTGAAACCCATAGTCAACAATCCTTTGAACATGTTGAAGTAATCAACAGCGAAAGCTTGAACAATTTTACAATCAATAACACCGTATAATATATAAATAAGAAGATGTGGTATGAGTGCAAATGAGACAAAATTGCAACATTGACATTGACAACATAAGCACCGCATGGGTGTTGAAACTTAAGGTTAACCATATTTATTCTGCGCTCTGTGTTCCCTAAGGACTTCTCGAAAATATAAAATATAGATACTGAATTATCGGGAATTTGTACACTCTCGAATTGATATTTAAAGCTGCTTTGCCAGTTTTGAGAGACTTATGACAATTGGACGTTTTAAAATATGTAATTGAAGCTGTGTACAGTGATGTATTTGTTAACATCAACGTCATTTGATCTGTAGTTGATAGTTGTCTCTTTGGCAATTATACCACATCTTCTTATTTTTATAAAGATGTCTAGATTAGAACATAGTACCTTTGAGGGATTATGTCACCATTCTCCATCAACAACAAACTTGTACTGAAGAACTTTCCAAGTTGTCCTATCATTCAATTTCCCGGGTGATTAAATTCTTTCTTTTCCGACTGACGGGAATGACCCTATTAATGATATCCGCTATTGTATTGGATGTATCAATTATGCTCTCAACCTTTGTTAAGGAAGTTCGCTACTCCGTTTCAAAATAACAAGCTTTTCATAACGCTAGTATATATTGATAGAGGATTAATAAAGGAACCAAAAGAGCGAAAAAAAATATAGGTCCGTGTGCTTGTTTTCGAGATATTAGCCATTAAAATTTTTGCGGGAAAATGTTCTCTCTTGATTTTTCATAGCTTTATCAATGACAAGTTTGAGTTCTCAAAAACTATTAAAAAGTAACAAAGATTGTATAAGACTTTTACAGATGGCTTATAATTATACAAAGAAAAATGGGGGTTAGTGGGCAAAATTTTTTAAGGAATTCAAACGGATAAAACCAGAGGATTCCGAAAATCTGACAAAAATTCCAAAACATGACAAGCGAACATCCTTAAAAGACTCCCAAGGTCATAGCATGACAAGTCCTTCCAGCATCATTAATCTAAGAGTAAGGGTAATTAAGGTGCCTTTGCAGAGGCTAATTTTTTCGAGCCTACCCGACTCTCCATTTTAACTTTGTAATGTTTCCACTTTTTGTGTCCCATTTGCCTACTTTCAATCATATTTTCAAACGCGATGTTTTCCGACAAATGAATATTTGTGTCCCTGAAAATCAGATTTTAATTCACATCTAGATTAAGAACATCAATCAAAGCGCTGTTCTTTCTACAATCGTGCATTTCACGAGATGTTTAACTCGTGTTCATCCGGTTTCGAAAATATTTTCTTCCCAAATCAAATAATCACGAAAATATGACAGTAAGACGGGGATGAACTACTTCAAAAACTTTAAATAAAAAAAAAATTCTATTCATGTTGGCTTGGTTGACAAAAAATCACTTATATAACTTTGCCCCTATATTTTAGTTTTCGATGAACTCAATAGTATTTTTAAACGCAATGTAAATTGCATGCACGTAAGGGCTTCACCAGTCACAGACTCATCTATTCAAAACTACAAATACAAAATTCAAACCTTTTGCCAAATGGAAATAGGTTCCATGCATTACAACTTTCCGCTGAGAATACTTCCGTTCCATTTCCTACCGGTAAAAGTTCTGGTTAAGTATTAGCCAATGCTGTTATCAAAAACATCCGAAGATTTGAAAGCGAAATAGTGTAAAAGATAGTCATCCTATTTCAAAATTAGACAAAACACGTTTGCTTATATTCTAAGCGGTAACATGATATGTAAGTTTATTTGCATAAAAAAAAAGTTACCTTTACAACTCAAACTTTCGATACTTCAAGACAAATTCACATATGTATATATTAAAGGCATTTCAGCAGCTGATAGGTACAATTGGCTCTTATGAACAGTTGAGTATTATCAAAAAACAAAGTAAAGATTTTATCTTTTCTTCGTTTTAAACACATATCTTGTTTTACATTCACGAATGAATGCTCGGAGTCAAATATTAGGACGTATAAATGTTTAGGCGCCAAACATCCAAAAGTGAGTAAAAAAAAACTATAAAAAACTAGCCAAAAACATATGAGGTATTACCATCTATATGAATTTTTGTTAAACGTAGTTTTACACAGCCATGTAGTTGATTTAAACATATTTTATTTGTTATTACATATAACAATAAGGATCAGACACAAGTTATTACAACTAAGATAGTCTTCTCCTAAATATAATAACTTATGATATATAAATATGAAGACATGCACCAACAACATTAGTTAATTGTAGATTTGTACAATAGTTATAGAAAAAAGAAAGTTCACAATTTCCTTAATATTATATAGAACAGTCCTTCGTCAAAACGCTTATTCATCGAATACTATACTATATTAGTTAAACAAAAAAGAAAAGAAAAATATCTTTCTAAAGGTCAAAACATTCACTTTTCCGAATAAAATACAACGGAAAGACAAATGGAAAGAGCAGCGTTAAAGAATCTCAGTTTGACGACAGGGCTTAAAATTTATAGTTTTGCCCATACTTCTTGGGAGTATTTCTGAATTGCGTGTAAATACTTGATAATTTGTATTTTCGGAAAAAAACATATGAACAAAAATTTTGACAACTCTCTCATCAATCCCAAACCCTTTCTCTAGAACCAGGGTACTATACCCAAGAAGAATTTACCTGAAAGGTTACAACTGCCAAAAAGATTGTTTTTATCTGGCCAGAATACTACAAATTTTAAACAATAAAAGTTGTAATATAACAAGTAATACAAAAAATCGTTTGGCATATCATATTATAAATTACGAAGTTATGAACCCTATAATATGCATTACTTATGTTGTAACGCTATCTTTGGTCCAATTACACGGTATTTGGCATCGGTTACTTCGATGACAGTGGTGTGGTGTACCATGAAATTGTTCTGTCTAGGGAATCAATATAACGTATCTTTTGTTAGAAAAACAATTTGGAACGTAGGTTGTGGCCAAGATTTTTCTGTATTTTTTTTTTTTTTATCATTTATGGGATATTGGTATACCTATATACATAAATAAAAGAATGATTTATTGGATTGACAATTATTAAAAATAACCTGAAGGTATTTTGGTACCGGTGTGTTAACATGAATGCAATGTGAAACCGGAAACAAATTATACAAAATGAGAGGTATCCATTGGCAAGTGTCTATGTCGAGCCCTTAATCGCTATGAGTCTAGAAAATAGATCTACCAAAGAGTTGCTATATATACCAATTAATTCCCTAAATGACAAAAAAATATTGCAATATAAATAAAGAAAACTACTGGCGAGGATCATAATCATCCAGTGTAGAGCCTGTGTTTGGGCCTCTTTTACGAACACACGAACCTCGTTCATCCTGGGATAGTCAAAGTCAAAGTCATGTAAGTCGATTTGCATCATTTACAAAAACTTAAGCTCTGAGGACCATTTGAGTCTACATAAAGCAATACAGTAAATTTGACACTTAAGACAAAACAATACACATATGACATAAGTATCCACATACAGCATTATGCATGATGAAACATATAAGCAGATAAGCATAAGAAGCAACATGCTATCATGACTTTTAATGATAAATTTAAATACGATATTGTATAAACCTCTTTCTTTGGTATGAAATGCCGTTTAAATGTTTGTTGGTTACTTATGTTGTTGGTTTGCTGCCTCATTTTCTAAAACCCCCCTTTCCCATGTTTCCTCAATAAATTCATAATGATTGTACCAATCCGGGGCTGTTCTTTACTATGTCATAGCTATCTTCACTTTGTGTGAACAATTAATTAACATGATTAACCAATAGGTCCCAGTGTTTCATAGTTTCGCTCGTTTCTTCATTTCTTTCTGTTCATATATATTTCTATTTAGATTGCATCTACGAATCATCGGGTACCAGGTGACATATGCTGCACCTAACCCCTCTTAATTCGCCTTTGTAAACATGGTAAACTTTACGTAATATGAAAATGATAAACACGAATCAACTAACATAGTTATAAATATACATATAATAACGATAAATTTGTTTTGAAATTATGGACATTTACGGGCTGTCGTATATATTATATTGATCGCTGTTTATCAGGTCGTAATCAGACAAGAGAATTACGACCAGTTCACAGTTGTCCTCACGGGAAGATGCAGTCAAAGTACATAATTATTTCATAGATTTATGAGTTCCTGTTCTCTGTGAGAAGGTTTATACGAACTATGAAGAATTAAATCAGGTAATTCAAGCCACTGACTCAACTATTACCTTTGCATTATGTATATGTTAATGTTTTGTGTATTCATTCCTGCATGCGTGTTAAGAGCAATTTAATTCTCTGTAATCACCAAAATATTTCGGCACGCACTAAAAAATATTTGTTTTAAACTTTATTAGTTCAATAGAGCCACATGAGCTTAACAAAAAATATTATTACACTTAGCCCCATATGTTTACCGTTTCCTTGGTAACAGGACTTGAAGTGGCAAGAAAGAGGGAAAATGCAGACGTGTTTACAAATTATGATCAATTATGTCTAATAAAAAGAAAATAATATAGATATTCAGACATTTAAAACTTTTTTCAGTTTAAAAAAAAACAAATAAAAATTGTGTTCAACAGTAAACTTTCTTAAAAAAAATCTATATAGCTAAAATAGGGTAAAAAGTGCAATAAAAGGGGGGTTTTAGAGTCTATTTTGATCAGTTGTTGTAAAAAAATGCAGCCATTTCTTATATTGTTGATTATATGAATAGAGAGAATGGATTAAGGTTATACAAGAAAAGAAAAAAAAATCAGTGGGCAAACTTGACTGTGTTGAAATTAATTGACCCTGAAAAGTTGAGTTGTCCTGTATTTACCTAATCAAATTACCTCCCTTTACGGAGTTCTCTTGTAGAGAAACAAATTAAAAACAGGAGAAACAAATGCAGACAACAATGTTATTTTGAGAATTTCTTCATGTTTTATATTCAAGCATAATGGGAAATGGATAAATTTTTCACAGTAGCCTACACTTATATATATGGTTAAGTTGGTGTGATTTGCTCATATTTTGAAAATATTGTCAGAACAATGGAACTGTGTCTGTACTAAGACAGTGTATTTTATAGTTTATTTTGCTTACCGTAACTAACTTTTTTAATGTATTTATTTATATAATCTTCGAATAATTGTTATAAAATGTGTAGCATAAAAGATTTCGTAGGCAATTGTGACAACTGCAGTGACGACAGGTATTTTTGAAAATGCTTCCATTGGAAAAAGAGACATGTATAATTATTTTTTGTCAGAAATTTCTTTACTTAAATCTGACATTACATTGTACGTCACAACTGAGGATCTGTGATATTCATAGAAATATTATCATCGAAACAAATAACAAGAGATATAGAAGGAAAAATTGTGGTGTGCCTTCAGTAAATGTCATTTTGAAATATCATAATACTACAAAAGCAGTGGATCGACATGTTACACCCGAGATGTTTCAAAGAATTGTTACAAAAACAGGCATTTTCATTCCTATTGGAACATGTAAGTAGATACTATTTACCTAATACCATTTTTCTTTAAAAAAGATACAGTGATAAACCTCTTATAAAAAAGAAATCAAATGCAGCTGTCAGGTACCCCCCCCCAAAAAAAAAACAAAAACAAAACAAACAAAAAAAACCTTAAGGTTAATATTATCTACCATTTGGCTATGAACCTTAAACTTATTGTTTTTAGCATGTGACAGCCATATGAACTTCTTTAATACCCCTTTTTTAAACTATAAAACATAAAATTATGTGAAGTTCTTTGAATCTTGTTTTTGAGAGACAAAAATTATAACATGAATGCTGTTTCACGTTTCCTTTCCTTTACCAGATTTGTAAGGTTTTGTACATGATAATCACATCATTTCATACCGGTCCTTATGAAATAAAAAATGTTGCAGCAACAATGCTGCAATGTTGCGGCTGCTGATCAGGTTGCCAGAAAATTGACGCCGGATAAGTGCTGAATGATGCCGCTAGCATCATTCTGGCTACATTGCAGCGCTATTTCCTTTCATGACAAAAAGCGCCACAATGTTGCCATAAAGCACACATATAATTTTCTCATTCTTAATCTACTAAAATGATGCCAGAATAGAGTCAGAACATTGATAATGTCATTGATGATGTCACCAGTGTTTGAGCTTTTTACTGTGGTCATGGTGGTGTGTTAGAAGTGGACCATATGTTGCTTGAGCTTATGATTTTAGTGAAGAATTGGGTGTTCTGTTATTGTGAAGACTTTTATGTAAACTTAGATTAACATGATTTATTAAATGCATTATATAAAAGTTCAATCTCTCATTTAATTAAATCAAGGAAATTGTCTTCTTCCTGATAGACCTGGAGAGCATTTTCAAAAAATCCTAATTAACAGGGACGAACTATCATCTAATGGGGCGAATTGGTACCTTCTGAAACATAAGTCATGGTTTCTCTTCCCTTTCTCAATTTAACCCTCGCTAAAATTTTACAGAGCATGCTGAAAGAAGTTTGGTCAATTATGTCTTTGTAACCCTCTAAAGACGGCTTAACTTGAAAGTGTTATTTGTTTGCAAAAAATGTAGTATAATCACGAATTTAGATTGCTTATCAGACAAAACACAACACCTTTGACTGAAGTGAAGGGGCTCCTGTTGGGATCATGGAAATTATGTTGGTGTTATTGAAGGTATAGATGTTGCATGTTGACAGTTCATGAGTTACACATTTTAACTTTCCTTTTCCTCAATGTGGGAAAATTAAGTACATTACATATAGGAATAACTTCTGAGGACAGAACTTTAAAAGAAAAAGTTATAATAATAACCCTGAGCACACAAAAAAATCATAACGTTAAATAAAGGAGTTAAAACTTTTTCTCCTGTATACTTAGCACTAAACTTGCCTGGTCAGACGTTACTTTACCTTTTTAGTCAATAATTAAAGGAAGCCAGAATTTAAAGGCATTAGTGGCGCAATAGTGCCAGAAAACTAATTTGCATACAAAATAAAAAACAATATCTGCATTGAAGCCACAACATGTTGCGGCAACGAAGCCACAGCATTTTCTGGCACCAGTGCCAGAAAACTAATTTGCATATGAAATAAGCTAATGCAGCATCATTGCCACAACATGTTGGTGCAATGAAGCCGCAACATAGCCCTAATGTTGTCACAACTACATGTATGCGCCAGAAGGCTTATATTCCGATAAGGGCGCGGACAGCCTTCTTTTATTCATGTTTACTTGAGATACAGGTATGTTTTAAAATTCATGTTTTTATGTACATACGTACATGTACATGTATATGATCCAACAAAAAAGTATGTGGGTTTACTGTACCCCTACTTACCCTACTTTTTGTCCCCTACCCTAAAGTTTTTTTGACTATTTTTGATTAAGTACTGTTAAAGTCACAATGTTGCTCCCATAGACTCAATGTAAAAAAAAAAATAAATCCCTACCTACCTACCCTTTTTTTTTCAGCAAGTGACAGTAAACACACATATTTTTTTGTTTGGCCTAAATAGTTTTGATAGTGATACACAGAATGAGATCAATTGTGTATCTATTTTCTTTTATATTACAGCAATTTGTAGACTGTGTAGAGAAAAACTATTTGGAAATAACAGTATTGAGCATGTTGAGGAGGTATGTCTTTTCATATACATGTATAAATATGATTCCCTGTACACATGTATACTCAATAGTCAATAGTGAGTTTATTGTTATGTCATGTATGTATGGGATCCATATTGTAACTACATGTCACACTGCATATGTACTCAGTTTTACTATGACGAGAATAAGAAGATCTTTCAATTCAGAAATAACATTAAACTTTAAAGTTCCAATTTGGTCTTCATATTCACTAAGCTTTTGCACATTTTATTTGGTAAACTAGTTTCATCATTAAGCATTAGCAAATCTATTAAAATAAAAACCAAGGTTTTAATTGATCTAATTTACATGTACACTTAGGGCCAATAGGGGTTAAACTATGCATTCATGCATGCATAATTGAGGGTAAATTAAGGGTAAATTTCTAAATCATTTGTGTATAAAATATACCTCAACTGAACCCTAACCCATTCATATATTACTAAACCCTCTAAGATAGGTTGGTTTTTGCTTCAATATTATCATGTGCATTCCAGAATTCATTATTGTTCCAATTTCAATTAGTACCTTGTTTAAAATATTCTTAAAAAGTTTTTCTTTTCTTTTAATTTAGGAGAACACTATTGAGACAAATACAAAGAACAAGATTGCAGAAGCTGAAATACTATCACCTTAAACATGTTAAAGAAAGAGGGTAGGTATAACTGTATATAAAATAGTATCATTGCATACACTTTATAAAATGTCTCATAAACTTGACTTTATAAGATATCTTGTATAATATCAGATTATTACATGGCATTTTTCATATCGCATGTATTATCAGCCCTAGGTTTAATATCAGCCCAAGAGCCGCATGGCTTGAGGGCTGATATTGGCCGAGGGCTGATAATACATGTGATATGAAAAATGACATGCTATGATCTTTTTATCATATGCTTCAACAATGGAGAAAAATAACAGATTAATATATTGATCGTTTTACGTGGTTCTTAAATAGCAGTTCAAAGAGTGAAATATTATAAGTAACATAGTGTGCTAGTGACCTAATACGGTATATATGGGGTCAGTAAATTCCATATGGGGTGAGAGCAAAGCTCGAATCCCCATATGGAATTTACTGACCCCATATATACTGTATTATGTCACTAGCACACTATGTAACGAATTTATCTTACCGACTATCTTAACGTGTGAAATTGAGACTAGTGACCTATCAAAATGAGCACTGAAGTCTTCAATACTTTTAGCATTAAAAAACTTCTCTCATTGATCCTACAAAAACAGCTGCCAACAATAACAACTTGTTAGGATTAAATGTGTTTTATGAATTCATTTCAATCTTAATCATCAATTTCTTAGTCTGTTGAAATCTTTAAGATGTTTTCTCAATACCGTTTTGTTTTTATAAAGGGACGCAACACCACTACTAACCTCCTTTCTAACCTTTTATGGAATATAAAGGGGACGTAACTTCACTACTAACCGTGTATGAAATAAGCCCCGCCTACCTTCTAACCTTATATGGAATATAAAGGGACGTAACTCCACTACTAACCGTGTATGAAATAAGCCCTGCCTACCTACTAACCTAATATGAAATATACACAGTCTCCACGCGGACGCTTTAAACCAATCCTATTCCTAGAAATGTATAGGAGGTAAGATAATCACGGATGTAAGACCCCAAATGTTGTACAATCAATATGAAATCTTTCTATCATATGCCTCAACAATGAAGAAAAAAACCCAGTATGGTATATTTTAATACGGACGATAAAAAAATAATTCAACAATATACATAATAAACACTGTTTGGAAAAGTCAACATTTTTAAAGTAACTTTCTTAATTATGTTAAAAATGCATTTATTTTATCATTTGTTTATTGTTTGTTTTTTTTCCATTTTACACAATATACTTTCCAGTATCCAAATAATTGTTTTGTACCCTACTTTGTAATGTTTTTCACTGAAAACGTACCATTGAGGTGTATTTTCCAGAATTTGCCGAGTATTACCGGAATGCCATGCGATAACGTTACGGAAAGGCATGTGATAAAAGTCGAAGCATGTGATAAACTTTTCATATCAGACCGCTAAGCACCAATTCGAAAAAATATGGAATATACCTAAATGTAATGCTATTATCATATGGTAAAAATCATATGTTATTTAGTCTAAGTATATGATAATATATTTTATATCTTTCATGAGATATCTTATAAAGAAGTTTATAAAGATATCTCATAAACTTTAGAAGATATAAGATTTTCAAGATATCCAATTAGGAGCTAACTGTATTGAATTTGCAGATTTGGAGCCATCAATCATGTATTTGATGGTTGCAAATTGAGTTTACTAGTGACACGTTAGCGGAACCAGTAAACGGATATTTGCGACCATCAAATCATAGATTGATGGCTCCAAATCTTCAGATTGATATATACCCTGAAAATTACGACTTTATCTAATGAAATTTGACGTACCTACGTTACAACGAATGTTGCATTAGAATGAATGTTATAGGACATCTGATATAATTTATAAGATATCTTATAAAACAATTTTATAAGATCTCTTGTTGTCCCCCACCGGAGGGGACATAGAAATACCGGTGTCCGTGCGTCCAAAATCAGTTTCTGGACCGTAACTTTTGAACACCTTCATATAATTTTTTCAAACTTACACAGTTGAATGTTTATTAGGTAAGGAAGATCAGTATTGATTTTGATGTTTATAGGTCAAAGGTCGAGGTCACAGATACTTAATGATGTTGAATTTTCAGCTGACAATCGGTTTCTGGAGTGTTACTTTTGAACACCTTCATATTATTTCTTCAAACTTACACAGTTGAATGTTTTTAGGTTAGGAAGATCCCTATTGGTTTTGATGTTTCTAGTCATTCAAAGGTCAAGGTCACAAGTGCTTTATTGAAATATTATATTTTAGCACCAGTGGGGGACCCCAGAGCCTCCTCTTGTTTAGTTCATAAGATATCTTATTTATTTTATAAGATATCTCATAAATTAGACATAAGATATTTCATTAACTTTATTTGATATCTTATCTTTTTATTCAGACATAGAAGCCCTATAGTAATCAGCTTTCAGTCTGTTCGTCACAAACAGTTTTCACAAAATAAATAAAAAAGGCTTTCACAAATCAATGTGAAAGTTTGATGGCTACCTATAAAAAAGCAGGGATATCACTAGTGAGCAATGACTCACAGCACATCCTGTTTTATATTGTGTCTATCAGAATTCATTTAGTATCCAATATTTTGTAGGCACTTGATAAAGTACCAGGGAGCGTTACAGGGTGAAGGTTGTTGACACAATCCTTGATTTAGATGTAACCAAGAATAAAGAAACAATAACCAATATTACAAGTTTTTACAACTTTAGATTTGAGAGCAGTCATTTGATGATGTGGCAGACATACAATATTGATGAAGGTATTACTTTTATATTCAACATAAAGAAAAAAACAGATTACAAATAACGTATAGTTTTAAACATAACACAACCACTGAAAATACAGGGTCTGGCTTGTACACAGGTGGGTAAAAGAAGTCTATAAGTACTCAACCCTCCTCCGAAATCCTGGTTCAGAGGTTAAAAGTATATAAAGACAATTAAAAGCAATACCAATACTTAATTCAATAAGCTCAGCACTTCATCTTAAAACATAAAAAATTAAATCATCTTAATAAAAAGGTTGCATTAAGCCTATTGATAAAAAGACCACAAACTCCTAGACTAGAATGGATGCTATAAAAATTCATGTAATTTTATATCATAACGACATAAAAAATCTATAGAGTTTATGATCTTGAAGTTGGTTATTTTTTTTAAACTTCCATATTGATCAATTTAACAAACAATAAAATGAATACAGGTTCTTTAATTACAATTTTCATTTCAGGAAAGCTTGTGACTTTAAAATCAACAAAGAATTCCGTGCAGTTAAAAGTACTCAATGACTGGACAGAGATGTCTTTTAATGACCTCATTACTGAAGGTAATTTTATAATTATTTCATTTACTAACTGTCATGTACAAAACTTTAGCACACTTGTAAGACAATGATCATTATTATATTTTGTCACAACAACCGAGAAAAACCAACACAAAACTCAATAAACATTGTTATGCATCATTTAAATTCCCTGCTTGTGGGTTACAGGATTATGGGTATCGACAGCATCTTATTATAGATAATCAGGCTGTCCATTGTTGAAAGAGAATTTTATACATGTTGTATCGTTGTCCTTTTTAGGTCACCTGGCCCATTTTGAGTCCGTCTGGCATAAACTTTTTCAAAAATCTTCTGATACAAATGGGCCAATTGGAACTGAACTTGGTTAATGTAGTAAATTTGAATTTTTCTATTTTTTTGGGAAACAATTTTTATTTTATTTATCCTCTTTTTAGGAACAGAACAGGCTTCAAAACAACAGAAGCAGACATTCATTTGTTCTATGGATGGCTGCATTCAAGAGTTCAAGAACCAGATTAGTCTTGATCAACACCTCCTTCAAGGCAGCTGTGAATATAAGCTAGAGAAAGGCCCATTTGAAGATCAGGCAAAAGTTCTATATGCCCAAAAGCTGTCAAATAATGTACATCATTGTCCTGATATGCAAGCAGTCTTACTAGAAAACGCATGTACTACAGACTTGAGTGCCAAAGAAATGTGATGGGCATTGAAAGTGAAAAAGAAAAAGATTTTATTATTTATTAGCATCAAACAGAAAGAATTCATGACGGATTTATTTTATTTATCTTGAAAGGATGCAAGAAGCAGCCATATTGGATTCAACGACATTATATTTTCCCAATAAATAGGCGAAACAGAAAAAAAACGCCTACCTTAAACTACTTTTTAATAGCTTATATCCAAATTTGAAGCGTAAACAAAGCCCCAAAACATACTATGTTACAGTTTTACACTTGAAGTATTCATATGAAGTCATGATGTTGCTATGAAGTTTATGTGCCAAAGAGGTCAACAAAATTTTGTGGAATTTTTATTTTAAGCCACTATATGTCCAAATAAAAAACAGAAACAATATCTTTATTGACTATTGCATTAGAATGGATATAACTGTATTGTATTTTAAGGTTTGTGGACGTAAATCTAGATTTTACTGTTGCAATTATCTGTTTACCTACCTCTGCTACAGGTCGCTAGGTAAACTCAATTTGCGACAGTAATATCTACATTTTATGTCAGAAAAGGTTAAAATACAATACAGTTATCTCCTAAATTACCTACACATGATTGCACTAATATGAGTTTAATATAATGAAATTTGCATGTACTTAGAAGGTGGTTTACTTTATTTTAAATATTTAAGTCGGACCAGCATTTTACCCACATTGCTTGTGGAAAAAAAATTGTAAAATTTTCGAAATTCGGTAACCATAGCAACCATTTTTATTAAATTTCATTAAACAAAACTATGTTTCTGGACTGAAAAATTTAACTGATCAATTTTGTGTAATTGTAAGAAATTTAATGCCATCTTTGTATTGTTAAAATATGGAAATTACTTGGATCATTATTGACTTGTAGAAAAATACAATTTACAGAATTTGAAAATCTTGTGTTTTTCATTCATTAAAAATATTTTTTGCAATTATTTGCCCATTGATTTTATTTTATATTCTGAAAGACCTATATTGGTTCTTTCTAAATATACCTAACATTTTACTAGGAGACGCTGCATTCAAGAAAAAAATTCACTTGAATACCCTGTATTTACGCATTTTTCACTGAAATCCAAATTTGCCATTTTAGCATATCTTTACTAGCTGGTAGCAAAATAACTGATTATGGTAAAAGTAAAACATATGTGAATTTCAAACAGCTTAAAGGTCAGTTATATTATATTATTCAGAAAAAAAGGATATGTTACACATAAATCAAGTACTAAACAGTGCAAAATGTCTTTTTTTCACTTTTTCAAGAGTTAAAATAAGACCTTTTATTGCTTAAATCAACCTATGTGGTTTCCATGGCAACCGGAATATTCCGGAACAATTTGCTGCCTGTTATTGCCTTTAGGTATGGTACTGGCTATTATATAAAAGTTTCATCAAAATCTGAGACCATGTGACCCTATTAGAATTTCTTTGGTGGTTACAGAGAATTGCTCTTAAATATCAGGTAAACTGAAATGGGTTATTGTGTATATCATGTATATCTTTCTCGATCTTGTTTGTTGTATACTCAGACGGGAATACTAACCCTACAGAAAAGATGTCATTGCATGTTTACACTAGGACAAAACATTGCCAGAAAAAAAGATTCCTTTTTCACCATTCAAAAGTCAAAATATAAAACAAGGCATTTAAAACAACAACTTCATAAACGATTTTAAAACAAATGATTTCAGCCCTGTAAATTCTTTCATTAATAGCATATAAATATTAGATCTATATGTCACGTGTCGAATGAATATAATATCAATTTGGAATTATTAAATATTAAATATGGTACGTAGGTAAAGTTGTTTGCAAAACGACAAATTTAAAAATAAAATCTACTGCAGCACTTCCAGAACGAAGGTTCTGTTATCTGAAATAAGATATGCCACTGCAGAACAACAAGCACAAATTAACTCTCAATAATTTTTAACAGTAATTTAGTTTTGAAATATTCGTATATATCAAATATCTTTAAATAATAACGATCAATGATGGCTTCAAATTGGTTTACTTTGAAAAAATATGTACAAAAATTCCCCCTCCTCAATGCCTTCCCCTAAACAGTCATTAAAATACAAACACTAATTAATGACTATTAAATGACTTGTTTGTAGGACAATAATTCAGTAACATGAAAACTGAAATTTCTTTCAACACTTAACTGGAATCCATACATTTTAAAGACTTATATTCATAAGTTTCATATTAGTCATGGGCATTACTGAGGGGTCCCTCATTCTCACAACCCTACCCCCAACTCCCACTTCCCTCCACACTTGTATTGTACTCCCAGACGAAAATCGGTAAAAAGAAACTTTTCCAGCTTATCCCTGTTTTTACTCCCCCTCTGCCACAAGTTCCCGCTCCCTGACTACCACCCCCCCTTTTGCATCCATCCCCTGATTCCCATGTTCACTTACCCCTGTCCACCCCCTCATTACTTAAACAAGTGCTTTTCAATCATTTGTGTACGGTTAATTTTTACATATAGGCAAAATCCAGTTAAGTTTTTAATTTTCTGAAACAAAAACAATCGTATATGAATTAGGACCTCCCATGTCTGAAAACTTCTCCAGATGGACACGTTTGTCTATACTCTTAGTGATATGTGTGGAACAAACACGGCATTTTTTGCCTATAGATAAAGATGAACCTTCAGGCGCATTTCTTAATTCCCAGAAATCAGAGATATACATGTATTGGCAACCATAAAAACAGTTATATCTATTTTACAAACAATGTTGTTATGACTCCAGTGTGCAAATATTTTGATCCTTTATCAGTATTTTTGCATTTAATGTAAATTGCTGAGTAAAATATGACATTTTCAAAAATGTATTCTACAAGTTTCTCAGAAATTCCCTGACTGGAGCTGTATATATTTGTCCTGAAAACTTCAATATTACAGCTTTGAGATTATGCAACACCAAAGTAGTCACAGTGTGGGAACGGAACTGTACGGTTTTTTAATTTTTTGGTCATTCGGGAGACTGTCAGGCGGGTCTCCGACATTCGAAAAAATAACAAGTTGCTAGATGGAAAGTTCGATGAACTCAAATGTTACTATATAACGTTTCTGATTCAAGTTTTGGTAATCCAAACATTCTATATGTAAAAAAATGTAAATATAAACCAATCAACAGGCGGAAACCCAGTTGAAATTAAACAAAAGAAATGGAGCTCTTTGTTAGAGAAGGTGAAAAAAGCAAAATTGGTATATTTGGATTGTTTACATCTGTTTCTATGGGCTTTAAAAGTTTAATAAAGGTGCATAATTTAGGATTTTATGCATCTTATATACGTGTTTTTATTTGAATTATAGTATTGAGCTTCGAGATATTTGTAAACTTTTAAATTATGGAAACATTTTCATAAAACATTCGATTGTGGCAGGTTCAAATCTAAGTGGATCTTTTGTGTGCATAAGCATAAATTCCGCCGAAAAAATTCCACAGAAAGATAATAGATTGATCTTTCTAAAGCATTAATTTTATCTCTGCCCCCGGCGACATTTTTGTTTTGAAAAAAAATCCAAAAGATGGGCAATAATTGCATCGAAAAGAGAAAGTCGAGTGCACCTTTTTATGTTCGGGCGTGTTTGAGTTGACTATTCTGTATTGAAAACGTATAAAGCAAATATATTTGATACATCATCTCGCTTCAGATTCTATTATTTTTATATATTTAGGCTACAGGTTGATTTAATTAATAACATACAAAATACACAGTACTAAAGAATGAAATATATGGGTCAAATGAAATACCTTTCTAATGAGTCATAACAACAGAGTAGGTGTGTTCGAATAACAATTTTTTACTAAAAGTACTTTACGACAGACTTTACAACTGGATCTTAAAAATGCATAACTTCAAAAAAACTATATTCTAGGGTTAATAGTCTTCAACCTCTGAAAATTTTTAGTCTGCCCTTCCACGAAATATTAAATTAGAATTTTTTAAAATGTTTTTGAACTTTCGAAAATTCCACCTGACAACCGATCAGACAAAAGTTTTAAGTTGACTGAATCACGGTAGGTATAGTGTCCGGCTAGGATCGTGGTTTTTCGAGTGATTTGATCGGGGTTTTTTCGAGTGTGACCACTCTTTTACGAGTGAATATGATCAAAAATGTAAACAAACAGACTTCCTTTCTGACAAGACGTGATATAGAAGCTTGAGTTTAATATACAAAGTTATACAAGGAATGTTAGTATTTGAGATAAAAAGATATAATCAATCTGCTATTATTTTTCGTTAAAAAAGTCGAATTTAGCCTTACAATGCTTTTATTCCAAATACAGAATAAAGCCATTTTTATACACATACCAATGCAAATTTCGAAGGAAATGCATACATGGAATCTATATATCCTTAGATATACAGACACTTTACAAAAATTCTTGTTATTGCATTGAAAACGACATTTTGAGACTAAATTCATTTCTATATGTCCGGGTTTTTTCGAGTGCGTCCGTGTTTTATTGAAATGTGATTATACAAATTTCTTATAGCTTAAAATGTTATGTGTCAGTGTCTTTACGTTTAAAAACAATAAAAAAAAGGTTCAAATTCAGTACTTTTAAAGGCACGAAACCAATGCATTCATCAGTTTGATAATGGTGTACTAAGTAAACACTTACATTTTATAAAGTATCGTTCATTTATATATATTGTTGTTTGTCACATTTTATAAATTACACGTACACACCGGCACTTGTCTCAGAAAAAAATTCCTATAAACCTTAATATCTTAAGGTATATAGGAATTTTTTTTTCTGAGACAAGTGCCTGTGCATGTACAGTATATATTTGTGATGTCAACGTCAATATAATGTAAGCATAGACAATTTGGATTGAGACGCACATACATATAGTGTGTTAAGCTGATGAAATATTCATTTCATTGTTAATTATATATGAAATTTAATTCAAATTTTATTGTCAATGGGAATAAAAATGGATCGAGCGGATTAAGTGTGTGTGTGTGGTTTTTTTTTATCAATTGATTTTTTTTTTTGTGGAGGCGGGGGCAGGCCTCTTTTAGTAGTATACTTTTATTACATGGCATTTTCTGATTCTTCTCTGCTGTCCAGTAGGTTTCTTACTCCTTTTTTTAAAATCTCCGGGATTCACCACAAGAAATATTATTAACTGTAAAATCAAAAGTAGCATTAAATGAAGTTGAAAAGATTATGAGTCCCCTGTTCTAAAGACAGTTTTATAAAGGATCTAGTAATTTCTAATTTAACACTGGAAAGTTGTGGTAGAACGTTTTCCGAACAGAAAATGTGCATTAAATTGAAAAAGGTTCATTTTGATCAACTAAGTAATATGTTTTAGTGATTTATTGGGAATATATGATATTGACCTTCAATACAGATATAAACTAGAAAAGTCATTTTTTAAAGTCAAGAATACCATTTTTCTTATTCAAATCTTCTTTAAAAAACCCTGACCATTTGTTGAAAAACCCGGACGGTTTCACTGTTGCTCTCGAAAAAACCCGGACAATATTAAACACTGAATTTTTTGGTTAAATACAAGGAAATAGTGCTTTTTTGTTGCTCTAAACATGTATAGTATATAAAATAAGATGTGCAGTAATGTAAAAAACTATTATAATTACGAAATAGCAGTAAATTGACCCTGTCGCATGTTTTATCACTCGAAAAAAACCCGATCTACACTCGAAAAAAGTGGACCGATTCACTCGAAAAACCACGTTTCTAGGCGGACACTTTAACTACCGTGTGAATGCAGAAAAGTATATGAAATGATGCTCAATAGCTAGTAGATACATTTTTCTTTTAAAATGCAACTGGCATATAAGGATCGTAATGGTGCTATGTGGATAAATTTATCGGTTTTCAAGAGCTAAATTGGCAGCGCGTCATCCCTACAATGGCTTCCATTTTTACGATTGTGAAAATTAACTAGCGTAATGGGGAGATAATTTTGAGGAAGTAGAATCCGGACTGCAAATGATAAAAACGATATATGCATCCAAACGATTTCATAAGTATTGTGGGGCTCCGTGTAAATCGATGAAAACTGTAACACAACAGCGATAAAAAATGTAAAAAAAAAGCATTGAAAAAACAATCGTTGCTGCAAGAATTTTAACATGTACCATTTATGGTATATAATCTTACCTGTCTGAAAGTTTAAAAGTCATTGTCCCAGTAGAATTCCAAAGATATTCATTTTCTCAATGTCTGATATTTTAATTGACTGTACAATCGCTTGTGAATTTACTGTACAATCACTTGGGCCTTTTCTGTACAATCGCTTGGCCATATTCATAAAATACATTGCATATACATTTCATTGTTTGTTCCTTGTCTGTCCTATTATTATCATTATGGTTTTTGAAATATAAATGAACACAAATTCAGTCATTTTGCCGATTAAGATTCTATCAAGGGCACCTGTTTAAGGTACCCTTAGAGTGACTATATTAGAGACAAAATCAAAATTCGGGCAATAAGTTTACAAGACAAAATAAATGGACAGTACAAATGTAAAGAAATCACTAATAAGAAAAATAATGCTCGTACAAAATAAATAACCGAAAAGATGACAAAGTGCTCCAGAAGGGTAGGACTATCTTGAAGTTTACTGAATTAATTATTTACCAACTCTTTAAAGAATAATATATACGTATATAAATAATACGACAAAGAATGTTTCATTAGAAGACCGGGATATTCTCACTTGATAAATGCATTCGAATGTGAAGTGGTAGTAGCTATTCACGGAACCATGAAAAGACACGTATATGTCAACAAACATAATATAAAAGTAAGAAGATGTCTTACAATTATCCAACGATATATCTGTTTATTACAAGCTATAGCTGGTGGTGGTATCAGAAAATCCTTAAATTTCATGAACTTGTTCATAATAATAAGCGGTTACGTATCACCATCCAGGAATTTTTCAATATTTCTAACTATAACATCCGACGAAAGAACAACACACATTTTTTTAATAAGAACTTTTTATCAAATCTCATTTCTATCTTCAATATAGAAATGAGCAGATGTGGTATGATTGCCAATGAGGCAACTATCCACCAAAGTTCAAATGAAGTGGATGTAAGCAATTATTGGCACCCATACTGTATAGTCGGCTATATAAGGCCCCGATATGAAAACATATAAAACAAAAAAACAATTTATTTTATAACAAAACAATCTACGAAAAACAAAAATGACAGAATGAACCAACGACAACCACTGAACTACAGTCTCTTGACTTGGGACAGGCACATACAGAATGTAGCGGGGTTAAATATGTTTGCGGGCGCTCAACCCTCCGGTGTTACAGCACAACATAAGAACAAAAATATAAAAATTCAGTTCAATAATTAGTTCATCATGTAATACTATCACGGACGATATCAGACTAGTCGCAGATCCAGCCATTCCAAAAAATAGGTTCCAAACCCCGGAACACCATGAAACGTGCACACAATAAAAAAAAATATCGATCGAAAAAGCGGGGTTTGAACCACCAGAACACCATTCCCCACCCCGGATCCACTAATGCAGACTGCATCCATTAGAATAAAACATTCAAGCATCAGTCACACTTTCGAATTCGTAATTGAGATTTAAATCAAAATTTGATAACAAGACCGAATTACTGTTATTAAATCGTAACAAAAAAGGAAAAACCCTCACGCCAGACAGACATATGTTGCATTAGATTGCTATAGATTTAATAAACATTTATTTGATAGAAATCGCATGGAAAGTAAATCAATTCACGAACAGAATAGATAGCAGTAAGCATTTCCTACTTGAGTGTCATAATTAATCACATGCCCGCCCGAAAAGGTAAGAATTAGAAACTATTCTGTTCTATCAAAATATCAAATCGCTTTTTGGTCTATAATGACTTCCTCTTTATCTCGGATTTGGTAAAGCCTTGAAACACATATCCTGATGACATTTTTTTAACCATTACATTTCCTTTTTTCTTTTGACAGGGAGACGGATCAATATAAAAACGATATTGTTTTCGAATCGCTTTGTGTATTACTGCAATCATATTTTGTGTTTCATGTATTTCAAATAAAATTTATTTAAACTAAAAGCTATATATTACGAAAATATGATAATTCAAAATAATTTTAATATTTGTGCCATTTATTTAACCTGCAAACAAAAATATCAATGCTGAGCCAGTTTATATAAAGAATATTTTTAACCATTGAATTACGCGTCAAACAAATCAAGCTAACTAAGATAATTTCTACATCCTTTCAATTTTTGTTTACCAAACTTTTGAAGTTGGTCAAGCGATTTTACAGGAAAGGTCTAAGTTATTGTACTGTAAACTCGAAAGCGATTGTACAGTCAATTAAAATATCCGACATTGAGATAATGAATATATTTGAATTTCTACTGGGACAATAGCTTTAAACTTTCAGACAGGTAAGACGTTATATCAGAAAAGGTACATGTGAAAATTCTGTAACGACGATTGGTTTTTCAATGTTTTTGTGACATTGTTAATCGCTGTTATGGGACAGTTTTGATCGATTTACTCGAAGCTCCACCATTCTAAGGAAAACGTTTGGATGCATATATCGTGTTTATTATCTGATTGATTCGATCATATTTAAATTGAGAATTTTTTGATTACCAAAACTTGAACCAGAAACGTTATATAGTAATAGTTGAGTTCATCAAACCTTCCATCTAGCAACTTGTTATTTTTTCGAATGTCAGAGCCCCGCTTGACAGTCTCCCGAATACAGTTCCGTTAACACACTGTGGTAGTGTTCTCGGTCAAAATTGTAGTTTTTCGGTCAAAATTGTGGTGTTCTCTGTTGATGAAATACCTGAGAACATCTGAAAAATGTAGATTGAAGAAACAATTTCGGGTTAGAAGATGTGACCAACAAGTGATTTTTTACTTTAAGATCTAATAAACAGTAAATTTTTATGATGTTTAATAATATAAAAGTTTCTTTTCTCAGTGTTTTGTTAACCTTGTTATAAAAGGTTATACTTTGAATCTTGAATAACAGGTAACACAACATAAAATATCTTCTTTTAGTATATTAAATGTACTGCTAATAACTATGGTTTCAGATTTAACATGCTTGAAGTAAAGGTAGATAACTTCTATTGGCAACAAGTCTGGATAATCTATCAAAATCCACACACACACCTAACAAAATATATCAATTAAATAATCAAATATTAAAGTTAAAGTATACAGTTAGTTTCTATTAATATATATTATTCTTACTGAAACAATGCCAGACGTCCTTATCTAGCTTGTATGGTCTTTTATCACTTTAAAATTTGCTTTATTAACACTTTTTTAGACAACTATAATTCAATTTAATTCAATTTTACGATTTGCGACTAAAACAAAAAAAAGCATAGCATAGTATAAATGACAAGAAGAAAGCATGTATAATTATAATGAACAAGCTGGTAATGACATATAGTTATATAGTAGAATAGTTAATAATTTAATAATGAGTCCCTACCCTTAGTACTAATTACTGCTTAATGTATATCACATGTAAAATTATCAGAATGTGTTTTACCAATTTGCCAAGTCAAACCAAAATGACCGCCATTATAAGCTGAATATCAAAAAGGACAACATCTGGAAAGTGTTGAAATAAGAATTCTGAACACTGTAAGCCTAAGACGAGACTTCGACATGATTCATCCTGATTAATATCATATTTACTCTGTTTTAGATAATGGAGTGTCATCCATGTCGTGAACAGGGTCAAAACGCATCTGCAGAATTTTTGTGCACCGAATGTGAGGAAGCGCTTTGTGAAAACTGTTAATTCTTACACAGATCATTCAAAGTTAGCCGAAATCACAACGTGTCTGCATTGCCACCCCTTTCAGGAAACCAATCGCCCAACAAGCAGATAGAACTGGGAGATAATGGAAAAGACAAATGGCTCATATGTGATGAACATCAAGATAAATATTTAGAATACTTTTGTATAAAACATGACAAGCCGTGTTGTATTCTTTGTAAACGACAATACCATAGGGATTGTTGCGAAGTTGAAAAGATTGATGACGTTGTAGATAAACACAAACTGGCAACTGCCACAGTAAACCTCTTATCAGGGATCGAAAAACACAAAAACGTTTTAACAAAAGCTGCAAACAATGAAATATCACATATGGGAGATTTCGAAACCATAAAAGTTAAGTGTATTAAAGAATTAAAGAACACTAGAATTACTATTGATAAGCATCTAGATTTTTTGCAAAATGAGGTCGAGCAAGACATAAACAATACGTATGATAACGACAGTTTGGAATTAAGCAAAAGGGTAAAGGATCTTTCAGCCAAAATAGAATATATAACCGACCTACAAAAAAATATAGATGACACTGCAAACCAATCAAAGTTGTCTTTGGGACAAAAATATTTGATGATAATGCATATGAAACATTTGGAGGATGGTAATATGGAAAGTCAAAAGACCCTACCAGAATGCAATTTGACTGGTATCAGTAACTTCAAATTGTCTTACGAGAAAACTGAAGATAGTATAACCATACGAATTAATCGCAATTTGCCGATGACAGATCACAAGCTAGAAAAATCTCTTGAAAATGAAGATGAGATTGAATCGTGCTCTTCTGTAGTTGAACTTGAAGCAAACAAACCAGAAGCAGACAGTTTTGCATTGCCTGAACCAGTTCCAGATTTAACTTCTCCTCAGACAAATGCGACTTCTATGCCTGACTCATGTCCTTCTACATTGCCTTCAGAATTGTCATCAGTGTCATCACCTGTGACATTGTCGTCATTTTCTGTAACTCAAACTACTCAGGTTCCTTGTGCAGCAGCCAGCGGAGAAGGTTCAACATTCGAATTCTTTCTCAGGAATTCGTTTTTTATTGAAAAAAGAAACAAAAATATTTGCATTACTGATGCAAAATTCATGCCAAACAGTTTTTATATAGCTATAACAGAAAAATGGAATCCTAGGTTGAAAATAATTTATTTGTTTCATGTAATGACCATAACTTAATTTGTGTAAAGCAGTCACTTCATTCACCCACCAACGTTGTATTAGACCGTTCAGATGGCATTGAACGACCATGGAGTATAGACTACGATCTCAATAATGATGAGCTGCTCGTGATGAATGATAATTCACGTTCAGTATTTATATTCAAGAAAAAGTAACAAAGCCAATGTTCATAACGTTAAATGCGTATGACGATCTTTACTGTGTATAATCATTTCCGTGTCAAGTAAACTCGAGTTTTGTCACCTTTTCTTTTGCTACCGTTTTTTTTTTAATCTCGGATTTGACTTAGCATATAATTTTGTATTTAAACGCCTTCGTATCATATAACTTCTCTTAAAACTAATGTTATTGAATATAGTTCAAACCATAAATTCAACTAGCAGTAGTTTATCGATTATCAAATCTCTGAAATCAACAAAGGAGATAAGACAGATTTAGGTAAATCAAAAACTCAAGTTAGGGAATCACAGGAACTCCAAAAGGAGCGAGACCGGGTGCGTTGATAAAGTAAGCGTATCCTACCATACCTTCAAGCCATGCAAATCCAACCTTATTTAAAATGGCTCAAGAATGTTATTTACCTTTTATGGATTGGTATATGCCGGTGAAACACAACAAAGGCTCAATAAACGTATATGCGGTCACCGATAAGACTTAAACAACATTACAAATGACAGCGTTCACCATCATTTTAATCATTCTAATAATTTATCATTTCTATGAGAGATCGCATCATCGAAAGATATACAACAGAAATAACAATCATCATCTTGCAACTCCTCTCCTTAGAAAAAAGAAGGACTACTAGATTTGATGATTGGGTACCTCAGACACCCCCCCACCCCCCCCCCCCCCACCCCCCCCTTTTCCGAATTCGTATTGGTCATACAGTCTTTAGTTTGTTCTTCGTTGTGTTTTGTGTACTGTTGTTTGTCTCTAAAGGAACTTACGTCATTTATGCTAAGCTGTTGTGTATTCATCATATTCGCACGAAACGTTATTAACTTCCCCTTTAAAAATTTCATTTTCTGTGCAAATTCTAATTGGAAACTACTATAACTTACACCGTATTCAAATCTATAGAAACTATAAACAGCTATTGGATTTTGCTAATTCACATATTTTCAACATGATTGGGTCGCATATGAAAAGATGAAAAGTGGAAAATAACCTTTCTACAACTTTCGTTGGCCAACAAATGTATCGATGCAATCAATTTGGGCACTATTATTCATCATAAATCAGTTCACTCGAAAATAGGTCCTATTTTGAGAATTAAGTTATTGGTAACTGCATAAATGATAGTCAAACAAAGTAGTAATATTACAGGAGAATTATACTTTCATCTTGACAATCACGGGAATCTTTACTCCGCTGAAAAGGTCAATGTATCTTACCTGACTAGTTACAAACGTTCTATATACCATCTAAAAGGTCTAAATAATCCGACAGGAAAGTAAACGACAGAGATCAGAATTTATTCATGTAATGACAATGATAGCATTTTTGTAAAGCAGTCACTTCACTCACAAGCCAAGCTTGTAATATACAGTTCATATGGCAGGTACTAGAAATATTTGAAAAACAAAATATTATCTTATATTTAAACAAAGTGATGCACACCAGAACAATTGGTGATTGACTTATACAATAACAAACAAATCAAAAGTCATTTATACAGGTGAACATACATTTATTAAAACAATATGCTTAATTTTTCGATACATTTTTTCGTGTAGTCAGAATATTAGACTTTGTGTGCCAGTTTATGACAAAAAGAAGACGCATTGTGCAATCATTGGTATATTTGAAATATGCATATGTAACTTGCCAATCAAATAACATGAATAAGTCAATAATCTGATACAAACGCAATTTGAATGTTTAAAGGATTCTGATAAAACTTGAAAAGTGTAGGAATGGACTGATGGTCCGAGAACACAGTTATCGTCCTTTGCTTTTTGTTGTTTGCAAATTATAGTCACTGGTGTGAACCGTGTAAAACTTGCAACTTTTTTCATACACATTCAAATTCATTTCATTATATTTTATGCATGAAATATTAAGTAAGGGGATGAAAATACATGTTTAAAATAATGCGTTCTGCATCTTAATGAAAAGAAGTGATTTGGTCAAATAAAAAAAATGTAAAAAAATAAGTATGTAAGATTGAATTTTAGAGACCAATCAGGCTCCTGACTTGGGACAGGCTCAAACAAAAAATGGCGGGGTTAAACATGTTTGTAAGCGCTCAACCCTCCCCATTAAGAATGTTTTCTATTAATATCATATATAATCTGTGTTATTAATGGGTATTTTTAAACACGTGCTTATGGCTCTGATACAACTGTCAGAGTAGCTTAAGATAATAAAATAAGTTGATTTTATACGTGTCTTTCAATTATTAAAAAAAAAATCATTGTCATCAATTACGTTGCTCCTCAGGAACCCTTTATTTAGAATAAGAATATTTCGATCTTTATCGTACATAGATTTTATATGCGGCAATGGGGACTGGTATATCGTGCAATAAGGAATGATATTTTGTGCATGGATAATTGTGTATCGTTTAAAATGGAAATATGATTAGGGTGTACACTAAGGAATCGATACATTAAGAACAAATCAGGTTTTATATTCGATTCAACATAATTGTAGTTATAATACAATCGAATTGCACAATGCATGTGTGACCTAAAGTTTGTAATACTGGGCGGATTACATTCTAACCATCAACTTGCTTACTTCATTGAAGAAACGGAATTTGTATTGTTGTTCTTCACACCAATGTCACAGTAAGACATTTAACACGGAGCAAATTATCTAACCTCTAGATCTCTTCAAGTCCATATGACTCTTTACACTTTTTAAGCAGAATTCTGCGCTCGATATCAGTTCATTTGTGGTATTATGTGAGCCTATATGTTCAGATTTGGACAGAAATTATCGATATCTTCGTTGTCATTTTTATTTAGCAAGTTAACACCTGAATGAGAATGTGAATATAGCCTAAGGCTAATAATTAGTATTCGATTTGTTATTTTGTACAAATTTGTGCAAAGGTTCGACAACTGGTTTTACCGTGGCTTGATTTTGTGATTATAGAGAATTCGTCTGTGTCCTTTTGTGTATAAAATCTGTTTTGCTCATCTTTCAGAAACAACCAAAACATTTTTTTTTCAGAGACAACCAGGGTTCATCATGAAGTCAGATTGATTATAATAAAATTCAATCAATAGATATGCTTTTTAGTTGTATCCATTAACCAATTGCAACTGGGCGGATAGTTTGATGCAGCTTAGATACTTGCAAATAATATTAAACAACCCAAATAGGGTCAATGACACAATTTCATTTTTGTCGAGCCTTCGACTTTAGTCGAAAAAGCGAGACATAGCTATCCTACATTCCGTCGGCGTCGTCGGCGTCGTCGTCGTCGTCGTTGTCGTCGGCGGCGTCCACAAATATTCACTCTGTGGTTAAAGTTTTTGAAATTTAATAACTTTCTTAAACTATCCTGGATTTCTACCAAACTTGGACAGAAGCTTGTTTATGATCATAAGATAGTATCCAGAAGTAAATTTTGTAAAAATAAAATTCCATTTTTTCTGTATTTTACTTAAAAATGGACTTAGTTTTTCTGCCGGGAAATATTACATTCACTCTGTGGTTAAAGTTTTTAAAATTTTAATAACTTTCTTAAACTATCCTGGATTTCTACCAAACTTGGACAGAAGCTTGTTTATGATCATAAGATAGTATCCAGAAGTAAATTTTGTAAAAATAAAATTCCATTTTTTCCTTATTTTACTTTTAAATGGACTTAGATTTTCTGCCAGGAAACAACACATTCACTCTGTGGTTAAAGTTTTTAAAATTTTAATAACTTTCTTATACTATTTTGGATTTGTACCAAACTTGGACAGAAGCTTGTTTATGATCAAAAGCTAGTATCTAGAAGGAAATTTTGTAAAAAAATAAATCATTTTTTCCGTATTTTACTTTTAAATAGACTTAGATTTTCTGCCAGGAAACAACACATTCACTTTGTGGTTAAAGTTTTTAAAATTTTAATAACTTTCTTATACTATTTTGGATTTGTACCAAACTTGGACAGGAGCTTGTTTATGATCAAATGCTAGTATCTAGAAGGAAATTTTGTTTTCTTCCAGTTAACCAAACTTGGACAGAACCTTCTTACAATCAAAAGATAGTATCAAGAGGAATATTTTTATTGATTTACTTCCTCATTTTTGTTGAGCCTGCGATTAACAGAAAAAGTAGGCGAGACACTGGGTTCCGCGGAACTCTTACGAATTTTTAGGACTAAAACAGAAAATCATGCATCAGTTATGGTGTGTACATTTACAACACACAATAACAACAACCATTTTACAAAGACTGAAAGCAAAGGAATAGTACATTTTTTTTATTCTAATATAACATAAGACTTGCAACAATGAACAACCGATCAAATATCACTACACGTTGAGGACCCTATAAACTTGTATAGCAGAATACTAATCTTATATACGAATATTACATTTAACAGAAGTTAGTTCTTCAGACCGAAATTATGATACAGTGGAGAATATGATAGGAAATCACTTGTCTAACAAGCACGATTGGGATGTCGCAGGATTTTCTTATTTATCTCTAGTCAAATGTCAAGGTATCTTAGCAAATCGATACTAATCCCATAATTTTAGATACAAGAAACAAATATTTGTTCTCAACGATTTCACAACAACATTACGACGCTATATTTGTAACTTTGAAAGTTAGGCTCCTTGTTTAAAGAAAATATGTAGATGACAGATTTGTACTATAGAAATGTATTTCATCCTGACCTGTTATTTTGTGGTATCATGTCAGCACTTCAAGACCTGTCCCTGAGACCTTGTAATGTGTCAGAAAGTCTGACATGGACTGTTATTCTGTAGTTAGCAGTTTGACACAAAAATCAAGATACATTATGTACCAGTAGCCTGTCCATGTTTTCCTTCTGATAATGTAATTTTTGTCCCTGAATAGCAATGAATAAATTAATGAACGTATCATTTGGAGTAAAATCTAAATTCATATAAGACTAAATAAGACGATCTGGTCGACAAGCTCTTATTATTCTTTTTAAAAAGTTAAATCACAAAAATATTGAACTCCGAGGAAAATTCAAAACGGAAAGTTACTAAGAAAATGGCAAAATCAAAAGCTCAAACACATCAAACGAATAGATAACAAAAATGG